TTTCGATGTGGAGAGGCCAGGAGCGTGAACGTCTGGCGGATGCCCTCCGCACGTCAGAAGGCCCTCAGGAGGTCGGAGGAAAACTCACCACCTCTGTCGGAGTGCAGACACAGAACAGGAAGGTCCGAGCCGAAACGCTCGCTGAGCTGGCGACGGGCACCGCGGATCCAGTCGATCAACACCTCAGTGACCTCACCCTTGCTGTGCAAGGGGAAGACTGTGGTATAACGCGACTAGTCGTCAACGACCAGCAGGAAGTAACGCTCGTGACCCTGTCCACGGACGCGGGCTGGGCCCCACACGTCCATGTGAAGAGTCTGCAGGGGAGCCTCCGTCGGAGGGAACGTGGAGGAGTGAGGAGCGGCGCGCTGCCGGCCCTCGACACACGGAACACAGGTAGGGGCAGGCCCCGGAGGAAGGGGAGGGAGGCACCGGGGGAGACCCGAGACAAGGGTACGGGAGGCCATACCTCGAAGACGAGGTAGGGAGGGGTGAGTAAGGTGGTGGTGCCAAAGGAGAGTCTCGTGCGACAGAGGACGACACGAGCAGGGGGCAGACTCAGGACTAGACCTGGACGTGGCAGCAAACACCTGACTAGACGCGGCTACCTGACCAGACGCAGTGACCGGAGGAGACGCAAGTAGTCAGTGTGTACAGACTCGACCCAGGCCGACGGGTGAACGTGGCCAGGTGGCGGCCCGTCCGAGAGCAAGTGCAGTGGGTCACACGCTGACCTCCAGGGGTGAACTGGTCGACCCACGCGTCCTGGAGGTCAGCTCCACTCACCAGGTTCGTAGAGAACGAGGGGAGGTGGAGTCCCGACAGCAAGCCCGACGGGGCCGCAGGACACGGTAGAACCGTGGAAGAGTGTGCAAGGACTGGGCCCCCAGAGGGGTCAGCCAGGGAGATTGCGACAGGCCGACTGAGCGGCGTGATTGTGGTGCTGTCACGGAAGAAGGAGCGCGAAGCACCAGAGTCAAGTATGAAAGTGTGCAAGGCCTCAGTAGGTGCAGTACCAGAGAGAGCAGACTCACCAGCACCTAGAGCAGCAGACGCACTAGCACCTAGAGCAGCAGCCTCAATGACCGGGTTGGGCAGGACACTCAGGTAACAGTCACCCTCAGCACTATCAGTCACAGCATACATGGCAGCAAGGATAGCATCGAAATCAAGATCAAAGATAGCAACATTCTGCTTAAGAAGATCACCCCAGCGAGGGAGCTCAACAGCGTAAGGAAACTGGGCGCGCCAGGCGTTAGTCAGGCGACCGAAGCAGCGCTGCGCAGTATGTGGCAGCCCGCACGTCTCCCCACGACGCCCGCCGGTGCGAAGAACGTAAGTGCAGGGACCAGCACCCCCAGACCTCCCACGCCCAGCGTACCACTCACGAAGCTGCTGGGGCGACGGGGTCTCACGAGAACGCGGCTGCTGCTGGCGCTGGCTACCACCAAAGCCTCCACGCTGCGCGGCTGCACCTCGACCAGCACCACCGCCGCCGCCACCTCCACCACCGCTGCCGCTGCCTCCACCACCGCTGCCGCTGCCTCCACCACCTCCTCCGCTGCCTCCACCACCTCCACCGCCGCCACTGAAGCCCCCACTCCCGGCACCACCCCCACCTCCACCGCCACCCCCTCCGCCTCTTCCACCGCCTCCGCCGCCGCCCCCGCCGTCCCCTCCACCACCCTTGCTCCCCTTGCCCTTGCTGTTGCGGCGCCTCCCACTGGGAGAAGACGCAGCCCCGACCTCCTCAGTGCCAACGAGGTCGACAGCAGCAGCAGAAGCAACAGAGGGGAGAAGGGGGACAGGGGAACACCCCTCAAAGAAAGGGGTGCGACGGTCGCCGCGAGAAGCACCTACAGCTAAGATACTCTTCTCAGCTGCAGCGAGGTCTCCTCTAGCAGGTCGACAGTGAGCTCGGTGGGGCAAAGGGAGAGAAAGTGGTCCCTGACTGAAGCAAGGGAGTCAGGGAGGCGGGTGACTAGGTAGTAAAGGGTGATGTACATGGGGGGGGGGGGTTCTTGGCACAGAACTCAGTGGGAAGGGCAGCGCGGTAGCGGGCGTCACTAGTGCGGAGGTGAGTAATGAGGTCAGCAACTGTGGCAAAGGCGGCAAGGTCAGGGAAAAGGTACGGTAGCATGAGGCGGCTGAGGGCAGCAGTGGCAGGGGAGGAGTAGCGCGCAACCACAGCGTCGTACAAAGACTGAGCAGTCTTGTACTGGCCAAAATGCGCGCGCTCAGCAGGCGGCAGGTGACTACGAACAGCAAGACGAGCAACAGCGTCACGAGTGGTCCACTGCGAGCGAACCGTACTGTCAGCAGTGGCAGGAGGAGCAGTAGAGACACCGGACGTGTGATCGAAAAGGGATACCCCATCCCTAGAGTCACACTGAAGAAAGAGCTACAGGTCGTCAACCCACACGTCAAAGTCAACTGCACGCCCCTCAGCATCAAATGTGAGAACAGTAGGGCTAGCCATAGCAGCAGTAGCAGCAGTAGCAGCAGTGGTAGTAGAAGCAGCAGGAGCAGTGCAGGCAGGGCAGTGCGGCTTAGTAGGGCAGCGCGGCTCGGTAGGGCGGCGCGGCTCGGCAGGGCAGCGCGGCTCGGCAGAGCGGCGCGGCTCGGTGGGCGGCGCGGCTCTGCTGGGCGGCGTGGCTCGGCTTGGCGGCGCGGCTCAACTCCTGGCGGCGCGGCGCAGCAGGGCGGCGTGGGTGCTTACCAGGGGCGGGTGCAGGGCAGGGCCGCGACAGCAGGGGCCGCGACTGTAGGGGCCGCGACAGCAAAGGGGCCGCGACGGCAGCAGGGGCCGCGACGGCAGCAGGGGCCGCGACGGCAGCAGGGGCCGCGGCTGCAGCAGGGGCCGCGACGGCAGCAGGGGCCGCGACGGCAGCAGGGGCCGCGACTGTAGCAGGGGCCGCGATGGCAGCAGGGGCCGCGACGGCAGCAGGGGCCGCGACGGCAGCAGGGGCCGCGACGGCAGCAGGGGCCGCGTCGGCAGCAGGGGCCGCGACGGCAGCAGGGGCCGCGTCGGCAGCAGGGGCCGCGACGGGCCGGCTCGAGAAGGGCGCGCGATGGCGCAGGTAAGGCGGGCGCGAGGTGCGCTTCGGGCAAGGCAGGAAAAAAAAAAATCTCGTGGTGGGCCCTAAAAAAAACGTTCCCACGAGGGAACCTGCTCAGAATACCATGTTAGAATATGGAACGAATGAATGACTGAACTAGGAAGCAGGTGGGTACAAGTAGGAAACCTAAAAATGTTGTACCCTATAAGAGCTACCCCACTACAGCCTAGATAGACCATAGCATATATGTTTGACAAAACAATGTCTTGGTCTTCTACTGGATCCTGTAGATTTCAAGGCGTTAAAAAGAGTACATATTTTGCAGCCCAGACTGAAATTCTAAAGCATATATTAAAAAAAAAAAAAAATTGGCAAATATTTTTTTTGAAATAAATAAAGTATTTCATCATAGATTCTTTTATTTTAAGAATTTCTATAATAGAAAATAACATTATTAATCTTTAAATATCTATACTCTAATAAATATGTAGTATGTGCCGGATAATGTCAATAATCGATTTTTGCAAGGGTACCCGACCTTCACAAACCCATTCATTACGCGCAATTTCAGCTCTATTAAGTCTTCCTGCGATTTATATCCTAATACCGTTCACATCGGGTCAATATGCGAAACGTAATATCTAAACAGTTAACGTGAAAAATATGGATAACAGACTGCACAAAACGAATAAAAAAATATACAATATTATGGATATAAAATATTTTAATACCAAAATATTTTAAAATATTGTACAATACATATATATTCTATATATTATATGCATAATTAATTGCATTGATCATATACTTTTTTTGCTTATGATAAAACCATAGAATAAGGTGATAAAATGATTTGCATATGGCATTAATAACAAGTTCCGTATTTTCACAGTTTTAGGTTTGCAAAGCAATCTTTGATTAATGATATAAGATAATTTTGTCAACAATAAAAAATAATAAAAGGCATCTTCCATTGATACATTGTTTTGCGTTTGGAAATTAACAGTAAGATAAAAAGCAATAAATATTGTATATAATACATGTAAAAAAACTGGCTTGTTATCATTTAGATATTCTCAAAGCGATATTTTGTTTCCATTTTTTTATAATAGACAAATAACATGCTTAATATCCAGCATGTTTTAAAATCTTTTATAGCGCTGTTTTATCCGGACGCTAATTTATTTTTACTGTACTATTCCCTTGACACATATTTCGTTTGGTATATTCGGGTGCCAATTCGGGTTTCTGATACTTGAGAGCTTGTAAACGCTAGTACAATATACTGAAAAACACGAAAGGGCTGAGTCAAACCTTGTTGTACGGTGTACAGTTCGGTTGAAATGTAGCGGTACCAGTCAGGGAATGTGATGAGTGTTGACTGTGACCACGCAGGGACAAAGGTTACCACGGAGGGATATTGGGTACCACGAAGGGTATCGGATGATCTGATGGGTACCATCGAGCCACGTGGCAGACTACGGACGTCAGCGGGCTCGATGTTGGTTACCCAGGAGGTAATTACCCGAAACAGTTTCGTGAAAGTCTTGGTTGTTCTAAGCCACATCTCGTGGAGTTTAAAGCCCAAGACCTGAATTACTCAACGGAAGTCAACGCTAAAAACTAGGTTCGGGAGGCAGGCACGGAGAGGTTCGGTTGGGTTGCGAGAGATTTTCACTCGCGAAACCAATTTGCGACAAAAGTATCTCGCTTCCCATGATGGTTGGTGCCCTTCCCACAACCAGAAAAGCGTGAGCTTATCAAACTGTGCACAGTTTGAGATAGCACGCAGAGTATTAGGCATAGACCATACCTGTAGACAGGGCAGGGCGTCGGCGTTCACTCAAAAGGGAGTAGATGCGCCATACGATTTGGGTGGCGCGGATTTGCAATGATGACGCGCAAAGCTAGTTTGCGCTGGGTGAAGATTATTGTGTCGAAATGCAGGTTATTGTGCAACTACTCCGTAGCGTAAACTCGTGGCGAAAATCGAATCGCAACCGTTCGCCCAAACGTGACCCTCCCCTCGCCCTCGCTTTCCTTTCCCACCCTTCCGCTCTCTTTCGCCCGCGTCGTCGCTATCGCTTCCGCAGCTCGTCGCGTGCCCGTCGCCTTCGCTCCGCCCGTCGCCTTCACTTCTCCCCCGTCGCCTTCACTCCCCCCCCTCTTCCGTTGCCTTCATTTCCCCCTCCCGTCGCCTTCACTTCCCCCTCCCGTCGCCTTCACTTCCCCCTCCCGTCGCCTTCATTTCCCCCTCCCGTCGCCTTCATTTCCCCCTCCCGTCGCCTTCATTTCCCCCTCCCGTCGCCTTCACTTCCCCCTCTCGTCGCCTTCACTTCCCCTCCCGTCGCCTTCATTTCCCCCTCCCGTCGCCTTCATTTCCCCCTCCCGTCGCCCTCACTTCCCCCTCCCGTCGCCTTCACTTCTCCCCCCCGATGCCTTCGATTCCCCCTCCCGTCGCCTTCCACGCCTGCCGCACTCGCTTTCCCCCCTCACACTCGCTTCCCCACCCGTCACCTTCACTTCCCCTCCCATTGCCTTTCACTCTCTCCTGCTCAATCTCTTTCCCCCTGCTCACTCTCTTCCCCCCTGCTCACTCTCTTTCCCCCTGCTCACTCTCTTCCCCCCTGCTCACTCTCTTCCCCCCTGCTCACTCGCTTCCCCCCTCCTCAATCTCTTCCCCCCTGCTCACTCTCTTCCCACTCTCTTCCCCCCTGCTCACTCACTTCCCCCCTCCTCAATCTCTTCCCCCCTGCTCACTCTCTTCTCACTCTCTTCCCCCCCTGCTCACTCTCTTTCCCCTTGCTTCCCCCCGTCCCCTTCCCTCCTTCCCCCGTCCCCCTCCCAGCATCCCCCCATCCGCTTCCCTGCTCACCCCCATCCCCTTCCCTGCTCCCCCCCATCCCCTTCCCTGCTCACCCCATCCCCTTCCCTGCTTCCCCCTATCCCCTTCCCTGCTTCCCCCCAACCCCTTCCCTGCTCCCCCCCATCCCCTTCCCTGCTTTCCCCCTTCCCCTTCCCTGCTTCCCCCCGTCCCCTTCCCTCCTTCCCCCTCCCAGCATCCCCCCATCCGCTTCCCTGCTCACCCCCATCCCCTTCCCTGCTCCCCCCATCCCCTTCCCTGCTCCCTCTGTTTCACCCCTGCTCCCTCTGTTTCACCCTTGCTCCCTCTGTTTCACCCTTGCTCCCTCTGTTTCACCCTTGCTCCCTCTGTTTCACCCCTGCTCCCTCTGTTTCACCCTTGCTCCCTCTGTTTCACCCTTGCTCCCTCTGTTTCACCCTTGCTCCCTCTGTTTCACCCTTGCTCCCTCTGTTTCACCCTTGCTCCCTCTGTTTCACCCTTGCTCCCTCTGTTTCACCCTTGCTCCCTCTGTTTCACCCTTGCTCCCTCTGTTTCACCCTTGCTCCCTCTGTTTCACCCTTGCTCCCTCTGTTTCACCCTTGCTCCCTCTGTTTCACCCTTGCTCCCTCTGTTTCACCCTTGCTCCCTCTGTTTCACCCTTGCTCCCTCTGTTTCACCCTTGCTCCCTCTGTTTCACCCTTGCTCCCTCTGTTTCACCCTTGCTCCCTCTGTTTCACCCTTGCTCCCTCTGTTTCACCCTTGCTCCCTCTGTTTCACCCTTGCTCCCTCTGTTTCACCCTTGCTCCCTCTGTTTCACCCTTGCTCCCTCTGTTTCACCCTTGCTCCCTCTGATTTCACCCTTGCTCCCTCTGTTTCACCCTTGCTCCCTCTGTTTCACCCTTGCTCCCTCTGTTTCACCCTTGCTCCCTCTGTTTCACCCTTGCTCCCTCTGTTTCACCCTTGCTCCCTCTGTTTCACCCTTGCTCCCTCTGTTTCACCCTTGCTCCCTCTGTTTCACCCTTGCTCCCTCTGTTTCACCCTTGCTCCCTCTGTTTCACCCTTGCTCCCTCTGTTTCACCCTTGCTCCCTCTGTTTCACCCTTGCTCCCTCTGTTTCACCCTTGCTCCCTCTGTTTCACCCTTGCTCCCTCTGTTTCACCCTTGCTCCCTCTGTTTCACCCTTGCTCCCTCTGTTTCACCCTTGCTCCCTCCCCTTCTTCTCTGCTCACTCTCTTCCCCCTTGCTCACTCTCTTTACTTCTGCTCACTCTGTTCCCCCCCGCTTCTTCTCTTCCCCTCTGCTCATTCCGTTTACTGTCTTTCCCCCTTCACTCACCCCCATACCCCCCAATGCAGTTACAGGTGCTCAGCACCAGATGTGGCTTTACCACGGCCTGGTTTATTGCTTGCAGTGTAGCAGACAAAACCGGAAAGCAGCATTACACATACACCCCCTAGCTTTGTTCCCTTCTCGAGTCTGGTGATTCCCCTTACTTTACAGATACGGTAATATATTAATTGTTGGAACTCCTTGGTATTGGTCATGTGTATGACTGCTCTGAGGCTCATAATCCTGTATTATAAAAAAAAAATCCAATATATGGCATGGCTATACGTGTGTTACTATCAGACAGCCAGCACATGCACAACCAGATGCAGAGCAGACCTGTCCAAACACAAATCAAGAAGTCAGATGTGACGTGGCTGAAGTATAAGGGAAGCAAGCATGCAAAAGAATGACAACTGGCAAATGAGGAAGGGAGGAACGGAGGAAGGGAGGAAGTGAGGAATGCAGGAATGAAGGAAGGGAGGAAGGGAGGAAGTGATGATGGGAGGAAGGGAGGTAGGGAGGACGCTTGGGGGAGAAGCAGAAGGGAGGGGAGGAAGAGAGGCTGGGGAGGAGGGTGGGGAGGAGGGTGGGGAGGAGGGTGGGGAGGAGGGTGGGGAGGAGGGTGAGGAGGAGGGTGGGGAGGAGGGTGGGGAGGAGGGTGGGGAGGAGGGTGGGGAGGAGGGTGGGGAGGAGGGTGGGGAGGAGGCTGGGGAGGAGGCTGGGGAGGAGGCTGGAGAGGAGAGTGGGGAGGAGGGTGGGGAGGAGGGTGGGGAGGAGGGTGGGGAGGAGGGTGGGGAGGAGGCTGGGGAGGAGGCTGGGGAGGAGGCTGGGGAGGAGGCTGGGGAGGAGGCTGGGGAGGAGGCTGGGGAGGAGGCTGGAGAGGAGGGTGGGGAGGAGGCTGGGGAGGAGGCTGGGGTGGGGCGGAATGGGGTGGGGCAGAAAGGGGTGGGGCGGAATGGAGTGGGGCAGAAAGGGGTGGGGCGGAATGGGGTGGGGCGGGGCGGAATGGGGTGAGGCGGATTGGGGAGATGAGGGATGGGGAGATGAGGGATGAGGAGATGAGGGATGGGGAGGTGTGGGATGGGGAGGAGAGGGCTGGGGAGGAGAGGGATGGGGAGGTGAGGGATGAGGAGATGAGGGATGGGGAGATGAGGGAAGGGGAGATGAGGAATGGGGAGATGAGGGAAGGAGAGATGAGGAATGGGGAGATGAGGGAAGGGGTAATGAATGAACGTGTATGGGGTGCTGCTGACCACGCACCCTCCCACACCCCACGCGATGGGAAGGGATGAGAGGGTGGGCGGCATGGGTAGAGAAGCGATGGTGAAGAGGGGGAACGTGATGGGCAGGGGAGTGATGACGACGTGGAGAGAGGAGGAGAGAAGGGAGGTCGGCGGGAAGGCTAAGCGAGGACGATGGGAGGGCAAGCGTGGGCGACAGTGGCGGTGGGCGACGGTGGCGGTGGGCGACGGTGGCGGTGGGCGACGGTGGGGAGAAGCGTGGGCGACGGTGGGGGGAAGCGTGGGCGACAGTGGGGGGAAGCGTGGGCGACGGTGGGGGGAAGCGTGGGCGACGGTGGGGGGAAGCGTGGGCGACGGTGGGGGGAAGCGTGGGTGACGGTGGGGGGAAGCGTAGGCGACGGTGGGGGGAAGCGGGGGCGACGGTGGGGGGAAGCGTGGGCGACGGTGGAGGGAAGCGTGGGCGACGGTGGGGGGAAGCGTGGGTGACGGTGGGGGGAAGCGTGGGCGACGGTGGGGGGAAGCGTGGGCGACGGTGGGGAAAGCGTGGGTGACGGTGCTCCGAAGCGTGGGCGACGGTGGGAGGAATCGTGGGCGATGAGAGGGGAAACGTGAGGGAAGGTGGGGAAAGGCGTGAGCGACGGTGTGGGGGAAGGCCGGAGGAAGCGTGAGCGGCGATAAGGGGAAGCGTGAGCGACGGTTGGGGAAAGCTTGGGCGACGGTGGGAAGAGTGGGCGTGTGCGTGGGGAGGTGTGTGAGAGACGGTGGGGAGAAGCGTGGGGGACGCGGAAGGCGATAGGTCCAAATGCGATGTTTGGGAAAGAGCTAGGAATAAAAGTGAAAATTCTCATGGCCTATGCTGTAGTGGCGTTTTATTCTATCTCTTCGCATACTCTAATCGCTTCGCGTACTATGGAAATCACACGACCTGAATTACCGAAGAAGGCAAACTGTGCACATTTTGAGCCCTTGTTCCTTCAGGAGGGTGTGGTTGGGACTCTCGCCAACCAAACCTGTTCTGCTCTACGACTCTGTGTTTCTTGGCGCAATGTTTTCTGGTAACCAGCCTGGCTCGGGAGGTCAAGTGTGGGTTCGGTAGGCAAACTGTGCACAGTTTGCCTTGTAATTCAGGTCTTGGGCTTTAAGGCTTACCCACTAAGGAATTTCAGCTCAAGCGATTTGTGGACATGGGTCTTGTGGAAATAGGTGGCGAGGAATCGAGCATGATGAGGTGGACGGATGAGCTGACCCATCGCCTCACAAACCATATCCCAGAACTTCATGCCATATCCAAAAGCAATCATTCTTTCCGAATGTGATGCCGTACAGTGGCGTAAATTTGGTTTGATATGATTCTGTACTGTATTCCCATCAAACTGAACACATGCACCCTTGAATTGATCTCTTTTGAAGCTTCTCGTCGTGTCTGTCGATCTGCTTGTTTTCTGTGGGCCATTCACCCTAGAACATAGTCCTAAACCTTCAAGGAAGCACGTTGACTGGGAGTGTAAGAAAACGAAAAAAATGAATGCGCTTACGGTATTTTCGCCCAGTTTAGCAGAATTTCCTGGTTAAGAACTTCCAACCTGAGCACTGTCCAGTCAAAGTGGAGACCCGAAGACTCCACTCGAGAAAGTCGAGAGAGAGATCCCTCTCCCCTCCTGATCTGGGCTGTCGATTGCTCTGGGGCCAGAACTTGGGAGACTGAGGTGGCCCCAAAATCAGCCCTTAAATTCACGGATTGCTGCTGTTTCGCCAAGTACCTGAAGCCAGTGTCTGAAAAAATTGCGAAGTCACTGCTTGACTTCACCAAATATTCGCCAAGTACCTGAAGCCGACTCTACAGATCCTACTGGGGGGGGGTCAGGGGGTGAGAGGAGTAGTTCGAGGGTAGGGACTAACTCCGGGGCTTCTACGTAAAATCCGGGCTAGGCCCAAAATGAACACTTAACGAATCCGGGTTAAGCCCGGATCTGAACTTAATGCGGACGGGCTGTCCTCGAGACCAGACCTTGAAATGGGTCACCTTGACCAAACCCAACACTTAATTTTCTGGGCATTAAGGGCATTTTTCCTTGTAGCAACAGCCCTGCTTCCGATCTTCCACATCACCCTCCGTCTTTTTCGATGTCTCCCTCGGCGTTGGTTGGTGTGTGTGTGTGGACCTTGGTGCAAAGCAGACACCTAGACTGCATGGAAGAAACACGCGTGACGCGCCTCGGTTTTATCCTCGTCTTTCCTCCTCCTAGCCGTTGGTTCCGCTACTGCTGCTTCGTTTCACAGACTTCCAGCACAACTTTCCAGTTTTGAATTTCTCTGGCTCGACCGTTAGTACAAGCGTAGCTCGAATCTTCCACCTTGATCCATTTCGCCTGGAAGCAACTTTTATAAAAGACCAAATGTTTTGATTTCTTCTTTCCAGCTTGTAAATCAGCAGACACTACCCGCTCAGAGTCCACAGACACGAGAAGAAGCTGGTCAGCTCCGCCTGTCCGCCACGCATAACCAGGGTACTAATAGACTACGTTAATGTTATTAGCTTAAAGGCGCTTCGAATCAGTGCATCGGTCTTTGAACGCCGCGTCGGCCTCTGATAGCCGCGTCGCTTCGGAGGAACGATGTTTAACCGCGGGAGGAAGATCGTGACCAAGGTGGCTGTGAGCGCCGATGCGCAGCTGCAGCAGCGGTACGAGGAGAAGGAGCGGGAGCTGGAGCGGGAGAGGCGGGAGAAGGAGCGAGAGAAGCCGGGACGGGCGACGGAGTGGGATTATTTGACAACCGTCGTGCAGCAGAACCGCGTCGCGCAGCGAAAGGTGTGTCGCTGTAGGAAAGGGCAAAATGTGTGTGGCGAATTACGGGGAAATGTAGGGCGAAAGGGGAGCATTGTCCCCTGGAAAAGGGGTACGGGCGACGGAGTGGGACTATTTGACGACCGTCGTGCAGCAGAACCGCGTCGCGCAGCGAAAGGTGAGTGCGGCGTGGGTAATGGCGGAAAGCGCGTCGCTGTAGGAATGGGCGAAAGGGGGGATCAATAAGGAATTTAATAAAAGTAAATGAAAAACACCCACAGTGAGAATGGGAAAGGGCGGAATGGAAAATACTTCTGAGAATTATGAAGAATGAACGTATGCAGCGAGGATGAAGGGATGCAGAAGTTAGTAAGGACGCTAGAGGACCCTGCGAAATTGGAACGGTTGACGGAATGAGAACGGCCGACGGAATGGGAAGGGTTGACGGAATGGGAACGGCTGACGGAATGGGAACGGCTGACGGAATGGGAACGGCTGACGGAATGGGAACGGTTGACGGAATGAGAACGGTTGACGGAGTGAAAACGGCTGACGGAATGGGAACGACTGACGGAGTGGGAACGGCTGATGGGGTGGGAGCGGAAGCTTACTGAGACGCGCGGCACGGCGGAGCGCGCAATAAACGGCGAGCGCGCAATGTACGGCGAGCGCGCAATTAAGGGCGAGCGCGTAATTAAGGGCGAGCGCGCAATTAAGGGCGAGCGCGCAATTAAGGGCGAGCGGGCAATGAACGGCGAGCGCGCAATTAACGGCGAGTGCGAAATATACGGCGAGCGCGCAATGTACGGCGAGCGCGCAATGTACGGCGAGCGCACAACGTTCGGTTAACGCGCAATGTGCGGCGAGCGCGAAATGTAATCCGCAGCGCGCTGCGAGGCACCCCCCTCCGTGTTCCTTCTGTTAGGGTTGGTTCGATGAACCACGAAACCTACGGCGAGATGCGGAATGACGGCGGAATGGAGTGCGTGGGAGATTTTAGATCTAAGACGGTGGAAATCGACCTACGGTGGAGAATAGAAGCTACGGCGTGAGAAGCGGGAAGGAAATCGAGAAGGAATGTGCAGGAAGGAGGAATAGAGAAGGAGAAGCATCGAGAATGAGATCGACGGGGGAAATTGTGGTTCAAGCTTGAGGCGCGTTCGAGAAGGTTCGAGATTCGGACTCAAGAAATGTTCGGTGCATTCGGTTCGGTTCCGTGTGCGACTCGGGGTGAAACGAGGCACACGCGGTTACTTGGGAAACAAGTGAAGTTACGAATCGCATTTTGTGTCTTGCCTGACCATAAAACTGCTTGTACTCATTCTGGAAATCACAACATTGGACAACATTGAGATTCTGAAATTGCTGAAGTGTGTATTGACAACTTCAAGCAGAGCTGCGCATATCGTTGGATTTGGGAGATCGTGGAGAACACGATAAGCAATAGCAAGTAGACTATTGCCGACTAAGGTGTTTACGATCCTAAGAACTGGTATCAGAGCTTGGCGAACGGGCTCGTCGATCGCGGTGAATTCACTTGGTGCGCTAAGTGAAATTAGTGGACAAGAGGAGTCGTTCACGCCTACGCCATGGGAGACGAGGCGAGTTCGGGTTCCAGTGTGAGTCTTGGAGACTCGCAGTTGAAGGCTCTTCTCGAGGCCCTTGCGAGTGGCCGATTGGTGGCGAAACCGACGATCGGGCTCAGTGAAGCTCAGCGCTTCAATGGAAGCAACTACAACGTGTGGCGGAAGAAGTTTATTCGGAGGGCAGAGGAGGTTGACCTCTTGCCGTACTACCGTCCCGACGAGGAGACGATGGAGGGAGTTGCGCCTTCCACGACGGATACGAAGGAGAAAATAGCGGCGTTCAAAAAACAAAGTAAGCAAGCGTTCTTTCAGCTTTGTCACTCAGTTGCCGATGGAATCGCGGTGGATTTGGACCAGTTTGCAGGGGAGCTGAACTCTGCACAGCGAGCGTGGGAGTACCTGGAGTCCACATACATGGGTACGAACGATGTCAACAAGAAGACGATTAGGAAGCAACTGTTGATGCTGAGCATGGAGAAAGGCGAGAAAATCATCACCTACATCAACAGGGCGAAAAACTACAACGACGACTTGCGGGTGATGGGAGCCGCGGAGACGGAGCAGGAGATGATTGACTATATCATCCAAGGCCTTCCTAAGGAGTGGGAATCCGACATCGGTATGTTTACGTACCAACCGCCGGAGAGTTTGACGAAGCTGCAGGAGATTCTGCAATCGCTTGAGACGGTGAAGGAGATGAGGAAAAAGAAAGCGGCAGCAGCAGCGGAATTAGACGAGGAGAGGTCGGCGATGGTGAATGCGACAAAGGCGTTTGGAGCGTGCTACCAGTGTGGAAAGAGGGGGCAAAAGGCGATATACTGCTACGAAAATCCGCGAAGCAGGAACTACAAAGGCAAAGCGTTGGAGAACGATAAAGGAGAAAATGGGGGAGCGGAGTGGCAGCAGAAACGGGGTTTTGGCGGCAAGTGCGACTATTGTGGGCGCTATGGACATCGTGCCGCAGAGTGCTACTCCAACCCGAATAGCAGGAGCTACAAGGGTCCGTCGCAGCAGAGGAATGTGGCGGCAAAGGCGAATGTAGCAGAAGCGGAAAAGGAAGATGTGATTTTTGGAGGAGCGCATCTTGCGAACGTGGTGCGTTTACCAAAGGAGGTTCGGCAGACGGACGATCGTGAGAAGACGGCATGGTTCATGGACAGCGGATGCACGCGTCACATGACATTCAGGTCAGATTGGATGGAGAATGTGAGGGACTCGAGTGAGGATTATATACTGCAAGGTAACAGCGGGAAGTTGCCAGTGACAGGAGAGGGTGACGTGGTGCTGCAGAGTCCGTATGGAGAGGTGAAACTGGACAGTGTGCTGCTGGTTGAGGATTTAAAGGTGAATTTGGTCAGTCAGTCACAGCTTGATGACTTGGGGTGCAAGATATTTTATGACAGTGGAAAGGTTACAATGTTTGGCCCAGAATGGGAGAAGTACGCAGAGGGTTACTTCAGTGACGGATTTTATGAGATGAACGTGATAGCGACGAATGATATGGATGAGATCTATGAGGATCCTGAGTATGGTGAAATGGGAGAATTGGAGAAGTTATCGACTAAGGTTGATGAGAGTGAGGACACGGATGATACGGCAGCGAGTGTGGAGGCAGCAGTGAAGCAGAAAGAGGAGATAGTCGCCATGGAGGCAGCAGCAGTGAATGGTGGAGATGGAGTTGGTGTCAACACTTTTGCAGCAGCGATCGTGGTTGAAGATGAAGCAGTAAATGAGAAGTATATGGGAGTTGAAGCTGTGAAAGGGGACATCCTGGTGAAGGGATCAAAGGAGAAAGCAACTGCAAAGGGGCGAGTGCTTACGAAGGAGGAACACGTTGAGGGGTACGAGACCCGAGAGGTGTTGGGTGTTAAGATGCCGAGGGCGAGGAGGCGCGCGCGCTGGCAGAGCGCAAGGCCCTGGCGAAGAAGGACCAGCTCTGCGACCTCAGCGCTGCTCTCGCTGTGCTCGCCTCCAGCTCGGTGCGTGCAGGCCAAGGGAGGGAGGCGTGGGTAGGGAGGAAAGGGGACGGGACAGGATGGGAGGGAAGGGGAGGGGAGGGGAGAGGAAGGGAGAGGAAGGTAAAGGGGGAGGCGATGGAGGTGGAGGTGGTAAATGGGGGAAAGAGAGAGCCTTTGAGGAAGGAAGGATGAGGGTGGTCTGGATTGTTAAACTTAAGCATCATTCGTTCCCCATTCCCCTCCCAATTCCTGTGTCACCTTCGTTCATGCCTTTCCTTTCCTATTCCTCTTCTGTCTCTCATGCTTTTCCTTCCCTCGAGCGTTCCATGCCCTCTCTTCTTGCCTTCGTTAACCACTCTTCCACTCACACCCACTCCCACCACTCATTCTCCCTTCCCCATGTTCCTCACCGCCCGTGTTACCCATGCAATCCGTCCCTCTTTGCAGTCGGTGGCAAAGGAGCGAGCTGACTTCCTGCGCCTCGTGAACAAAGAGGTGAGGGGCATGCCATGCACGCCGGGTTGAAGCATCAATTACAGGGGTTGGGTGGGCGTTGGGTTTGGCTGTGGTAGGAGTGTGGGTGGGGTGATGGTGATGGTGGGAAAGAAAGGAAGGGGGGAAGGGTGGGGAGGGGGCTGGGGGAGGGATGAGGGGCATGTGCGGCCGTGCATGTGGGAGTTGCTAAGCTACCAAAATTCCTTGTGAGCATGTGTAAGTTTATGTTGTCCTCCCCCCCCCACCTCTTGTTTCTGTATCTCTCTGTCCCGCAGACTGTTTTCTTCGATTGTTTTCTTCGATTGTTTTCTTCGACTGTTCTCTTCGACTGTTCTCTTCGACTGTTCTCTTCGACTGTTTTCTTCGACTGTTCTCTTCGACTGTTGTCTTTGACTGTTTTCTTTGACTGTTTTCTTTGACTGATTTCTTTGACACAGCAAGTCACAGATAGTCCTAGAAGCTCTCCCTATTGAGGGGGTTTTAATAGTGCGTGAGCCAACAACCATTTCTCCCCATCATTCGCTCCTCGACCTTCTTTGCCACTCTCCCCTCATCCCAGATCGAGCTGCACAACAGCATGGCCTTGAGGTCTCGCCTGGCCCACCACAACCATTCGTCTCCATCATCTGCTCCTTAACCCTTTCTCCCGCTCAACTCTCTGTTGCAGATTGAGCTGTACAACAGCATGGTGCAGCAGCACGGCACAGAGGGCGCGGTGGGACTCCTTTCAGGTCTCCCTTGCCCACCAACCATTGTTCCTTATCGTCCAATTCCAACCCCCTCTGCCACTCCTCCCTTGTTGCAGATCGAGCTGTACAACAGCATGGTGCAGCAGCACGGCACAGAGGGTGCGGAGGAGCTGCGGGTGGCGTATGCGGCAGCGAGGGAGGCGAGTGAGAAGGAGGCAAGCGAGGCCGCTGCTTCTGACGTGTCTGACGCACTCATCTCCAAGGTAAATCTCCACCTGGTGTTCCCACCTAGTCTTTACACTAGCTGCTGCGGTGTCCCAAATTTCCCCCCATGATTGTAGTGTTTATTTGAGGGCGGATGGCGGAGGGGGGAGGTTGTGGGTGTGTGCTTGTGTGTGCGTGCATGTGTGCATACATGTGCATCAGTGTGGCATGGGAGACCTCTCCCTGCAGGGAGAAGAGCAAAGGCAATGAGTACAGCAGTCAAACAATCTGCCAGCAGCCTCCAACCCCTGTGGAGGAAGGCCGGCAGCAGGAGGTGGGGGAAGGGCGCTTCCCTCCCCCCACCTCCTGCTGACGCCCTTCCCCCACCTCATGCTGCCGCCCATCCCCCGCAGGGGGTAGAGGCTGCTCCTGGCTGCTGGCAGATCCACTGCTGCTCTTGCTGCTTTCTCTTCCCCCTGAATCTTCACGTATCCGCCCTACCAGGTGGACCCCATGATGCACAAGATAGAGAAAGTGTTGCATTTGCATGATAGGAAAATGTTTTGAGTCTGACTTCTTTGCATTTGCATGACCTCCCCCCCCCCTTCTCCCTCCCTCCTTCCCTCACACCCCCTACCAGGTGGACTCAATGCTGCACAAGCTAGAGAAGGAACTGGACAGTGCAGACGCCAAAATAGGCAAGCGACTCAAGACACTTGACACGTGAGTGGGCTGTCCTCGCAACCTCCCTCTCCCACTTTACCACCTTTACTGTGACTTTGCACTCAATTGTCGCACACGTGAACTAGCCCCTCAGCACATAATCACTGGCACTGTAGGGCTAAGAAAGCACGTGAGCTTGGCAGTTCATCTGGAGGATCAGTGGTGAAAACGAGCCTACTGCCAACACAAGATCCACAATCTGAAGCAGAAGCGGCGCATGGCAGCTACATGATAGCAAAGAACGCACTGCCCGCACACCATCAGCCTCATAACACCCCAATGAGAAAAAACTTGATTATATCATGCTTATCTCAGCAGCAGCAGCAGCAGCAGCAGCAGCAGCAGCAGTGGTGGTGGTCGTGTCAGTCACAGGAAGGCAGGTCGTTGCACGTAGCTGTACCTGGGCACAGGCTAGGGAATGCGTGTGTGGGGCAGATCAGGAACAGCGCACAACGCTTAACATGCACCTGTGTGCGCCTGTTGTGTGCGTGTCAGTTGGCCATGAGGCTGTGGTGCGTCTTGCTCCTCCCAACCCTGCACATCCTCATTCTTTATTTTCGAGCAACTGGTTTGCTTTCCTGTACAAGTTTGATCAACCTATGTGGCTCTCATTTTCTCCCTTCTCCGCGTCTCGACTCCCCTGTCCCCTTCCCCTCCTCCTCCTCCTCCTCCTCCTCCTCCTCCTCCTCCTCCTCCTCCTCCTCCTCCTCCTCCTCCTCCTCCTCCTCCTCCTCCTCCTCCTCCTCCTTTTCTGCATAAATTTAACCGTGCATGACTGTGTGTGCAGTGACTATGACGGCAAGGTGAGCCCAGAGGAGGTGGGGGCGGCAGCAGCGCTACTGAGGGACAGCCTGGGGCAGGAGGGGCTGGAGGAGCTCATCAGCAACCTCGCCAAGGACGCAGGTGCGTGGCGTGAGGGGCGGGGGAGAAGGGAGGGCGGGAGGATGGGAGGATGGGAGTGTGGAGGGTGGGTTCAAGTGGAGTGTTTGGGTTCTTCGGGGTGCGAGAGGTGCTTGTTGTGTTGTAGCGTGATTCTTGTTGGATGGGAGATGTACGGGCTGTGAGGAACAGGTAGTGGGAGGAGGATTGGGGTTGGGGGTGGTGGCATGTACGTTAATCAGTAAAGTGAGGGCTGCTTGATTGCGTTGTTCTCCTGCTCTCTTCGAGAAAGTTCGCGCGAGGGAGTTACATGGAGTGTTGACACAGGACTCAGGAGCATGTCACTACGGGTTTTTATATGCTGATATTGTTTTTCCTTCGCGTGTTTTCTTGGTTGTTGCCAGACGGAAAGATTTTGGTGGAGGATATAGTGAAGCTTGGGGCACATGCGCAGGTTTCCATGGATAGAGATGATGACGTGGACAGTAAAGTGCAGGGGGGCATCAAGGGCGGCACTGGCAGCAGCAGTGGCACCGGTCCGTCCGCTAGTGGCAAGTGAAGGGGAGGGGAGCGGGTGAAACAGTTACGGATAGGGCAGTTGGTTACGCATATGTAGGGTTGAATTATGGAGGTTAATTGCTCTACAGAGTCATTGACTAGGTGTACTGCAGCCACAAAATGGATGGATGGTATCTTCGTTGTACGGTAAATGGCATGGCAGAACAGTAACTACCGTAAGAACATGTTTAATAGTCGACCCACCCAGCCCCTCCCTTGCCGATTGAAACACTGGGGTCCATAATTCCCACTATGGTTTCGTATCTGTGTCTACGCCACGCCATCAGATGCATAATGAGGCGTGTGAATATGTGTAATGTGATCATCACCATTTAGTCATGTGGATTCGGACCATTCTGTTATATAGCTCCACACTGCATACCTTGTCAGTTGGACACGAGTTGTTCTTTCATAATAACGGCTACCGAATTGTTCTCATGCGAGGGACCACGTGGGCCGTGCGGCGCCCCCATTGGATGATAAACCTCTCTTTCTTGAGCAGCCAAAGTGACCAGCCTGTGACACCTCGCCATCGTGAATTTAATCGACGGCTCCCAGTAAAGCGCACACACTCTGTTTGCCACTAGGACGTCCAGCGCAAATTTCTCTTCCCCCATCTCTGCAGTACCAGGATTCAATTCCCCCCCCCCCCGTCACCCCCCTTCCCCCCTCCCACCCCCGCCCCTCCTGCTTTCGTTCCCTGCCCACTCCTGCACTTCCCCCATTCCCCTGCAGCTCCTTCCCCCCAAGCTTTTCTGAATTCCGAATGCAAAAAAACTGAATTTGAAATTCTGATTGTTTCTGAGAGATTCCATCCATCAACCCGCTCCACGCACATTCAACCCAGCCATGGCTGCCGTCACCACATCCTCCATCAGCACCCGTGCCGCTTCGACTGCCATTTCGAGCGCACGAGCGTCGGATCTCAAAGGTTCGAGCACGATATTCGTCACAGAATGTGCTACTTGTCACCCTTGCTTCGTAGCAATCAGTCACCCACGGCGTTTCCCAAATTGCAATTTGCCGCAACTTGATCCATACGCGCTACACGCTCCAGGCTGCGATTCGTCGCAACTTTATCCATACGCGTTACACATTTTCCAAATTCCGATCGGCACAGATCAACAGAGAGACCTTGCGTCTCCTCTCTTGTTATCCCTCATTCTTCTCTCGCGCCAATCACAGATCGCCAAGCGGCTGCGCGAGCCTGTCTAGCAGCTGGTCGGAGCTTCGCTGGCCGCGAGCTCCGCCTGCGCCACTCCCCGCTCACCTGCAAGGTCAGTGTCGCGCCGCACCAAGCTGGTGCCGAATGGGTCGAACGAATGAATGATTCACTCCCAGGCGCCTGATTATCTACCTGATTCTACCTGATTTGATCATGAGAAGAGTGGGATCCTTCAGGCGCCTCCACGATTTCACCTTTCTCGAGCTTGCATTCCGAGTCTTCTTCTGGCCACCCCTTTCACGCGGATCGCAGCCTTGTTTTTCTCTTTCTTGTCTCTTCTCTCTGCCTCTCTGCCTATCTGTCTCTCTGCTTCTCTGCCGTCCCACAACAAGGCTGCACAGCGTGTGAGGGTATCCAGCGCACCCTCCCACTTGGTTCAAATTCAGATTAATCCGTTCGTTTCCCGGATCCGCCCCGCTCTCTCTCTAGTCACCGGTTCATCGTATCTAACTCTCTCCCTCCCCTACCTCTAACATCCTCCCATCCCAATTTTCCCCCTTCCCCACCCATCCACTATACCCCCCTTGCCCTTCCCCCTTACCCCCCCTTCCCCCGCCTTCTCCCCCCCTTTCCCCCATACCCCGCCGCCCCTCATTTGTCTCTTCTTTTCCCCCTCCCCCGCCCCCTCCCCTCCCCTCGCCTCCCGCTCGCATCCCCAGCCCGCGCAACGGCCGTTCAGAATGCGCGTGAGCGCGGCGTCGGCGGAAGCGGAGGCGGCGGCAGCAGAGGCGGGGAAGTTCATTCCCGCCGCGCCCATCCTGCTGCCCGAAGGGCCGTGGAAAGAGGTGCGCGGATGGGGGAACACGGGGAAGGGGGGGACGAAGGGGAGGAAAATCAGATGCTCGGATTAGGGGGCGGGCAGAGAGGGGGGGGGAGCAAGGGGTACGTGACAGGGTGGACGAGCGGTAGAGCGAAACAGGGAAAGGGGATTGGAAGAGGAAGTGAGGAACATTAGAGAACGAAGGTGGTCACGGTGATTAGTTGTGGTGGTTGATTGCTAACAACGGCTAACTATGAGTCACATATGGGTGGTGTTTATGGTTCTTATGTGACGGTATTCGTGGATTGCATATCGAGTACAAAGGTGGGGGATGAAATAGGTACCAGAAGTGCGCGTACTGTTAGGTAACGTCGATACTAAGCTTTGAATAACAGGAGGAATGAGTGAATGAAGTGAATGGTTCAAATGCACGCAGTTGTAAGAGGCTTAATCAGTCCCTGTCCCATCCACGCCCCTCCACACCCCTGCATGTACCCCTGTGGCTAATCACAGGTGGAGGGCGGGGTGGTGGCGGCGAAGGGCTTCAAGGCGTACGGCAAGTACGCGGCGCTCAGAGCAGCAGGGCAGAAGCCGGACCTGGCGCTCGTGCTCGCGGACAGCGACGCCACCGTTGCAGGTGCGCGATATGATATGATACGAGGCGTTATGAGTGCACTTCACTCACAGGCCATTCTGATCTGAGGAGGTTCATACGTATTGAGTCGAGGCAGAAGCCACACCTGGCCCTGCTCTCGTGCTCGCGGACAGTGACGCCACTGTTGCTTGCAGGTGTGTGCATGGCCGCACCCATGTCACACTGCACGCATGCTTTCACCTCCTCTCCAGTCCACATTCCCTCTTCTGCACACCCTACCCTGAGAAGCCCCCCTCCTTCCGCATTTCCTTCCCGCGCACCACCCCCCATCCCCTCTCCACCCCGGTCCCTGCTTTTTTTTTTCTTTTGCTCAGAGAAGTACGCATGCCTCCTCTCCCCAGAACCCCTCTCCCATCCCCCATTCTCCCCTGCTCAGCCCTTCCTTCCTCGCTTCCCCCGGCTCATTCCCCACCTTCTCCACCATTCTCCTTCCCCGCCCTCTCTCCCCACTGTCTCCCATTCCCTGCCCCAGCGACGTTCACTCAGAACGTGGTGGCGGCAGCGCCAGTGCTCTACTGCAAGAAGGCGCTGCAGGGGACCAGCACGGTGGGGGAGAAGAGAAAGGGGGGAGGGGGGGTTGGGGCCGAGAGGGACGAGAGCAAAAGGCGAGGGAGGCAGGGAGCGAGGGAGAGAGGGGGGGAGGGAAGGGAGGGCACGGGTTGCGAGAGATGGAAGCTGTGATGCACGGTTTTTACAAGCGTGCTTTGTGTTAGCGTGTGGTGGGATGCATGTGCTCTGGTGTCTCATCCAGCCCACCTTGTAATGATGTGATCGCCTTCCTTCGCCCGCCTTGCCGGAGCTCTCTTACTTCCCTTCTCCCTGGTTCTCATCTCTCAACCGCCTGTGCTATGTGCTGTGGTGTTCGGTGCGGTGCTGTGCTGTGTGTTGCACTGACTTGCACTACCTGTGTTGTCTGTGCTGTGTTGTCTGTGCTGTGCTGTGCTGTGCTGTGCTGTGTTGTCTGTGCTGTGTTGTCTGTGCTGTGTTGTCTGTGCTGTGCTGTGCTGTGCTGTGTTGTCTGTGCTGTGTTGTCTGTGCTGTGTTGTCTGTGCTGTGCTGTGTTGTCTGTGCTGTGTTGTCTGTGCTGTGTTGTCTGTGCTGTGCTGTGCTGTGCTGTGCGGTGCTGTGCGGTGCTGTGCGTGCGGTGCCCACATGCAGGCTCGAGCAGTGATAGCCAATGCAGGGCAGGCCAACGCAGCGACGGTGAGCCATCCGTCTGTTGCTGCCCACACGAGTGAGAGAGCAGCGAGCATGTGAGAGGGGTGTGTGCTTACCTATGCTACCACAGTCATTTTGAGCCGCATATTGTGATTGTTTGTGTTAGAATGTGTGTCCACCGGGTGCTCACGTTTCTTATGGAGTAGAATGACTGTTGCTCCCTCGATTGCTATCCCTTCTCCACGCATGCCACTTGCCCCTCTTCCCCACGCACGCATCTTAGTACCAGATTATACACTCGCACCACGATAAGAGCTTGCTCCCATCCCCTCCTTATGCCTCCGTGCCCCCATACCCCCATGCCCCCATACCCCCATGCCCCCATACCCCCATACCCCCATGCCCCCATACCCCCATACCCCCATGCCCCCATACCCCCATACCCCCATACCCCAATACCCCCATACCCCCATACCCCCATACCCCATACCCCCATACCCCCATGCCCCCATACCCCCATACCCCCATGGCCCCTTGCCCCCATACCCCCATGCCCCCATACCCCCATGCCTCCGCCCATCCCTTTCACAGGGAGATGCTGGCTATGCGGACACCGTCGAGTGCGCTGAGTCCCTGGCCAAGGTACCACCATGGCATGGCATGGTAGCATGGCGTGGTCGGTTGTGGCATTGTTTGTCATGGATCGGCATGGGATGGGTGGCAAACAGTTTCCCTCTTCCTTTCTCAACTTTCCCTCTCTTCACCTTAACAATCCTAATCCTATTTACCTTCTTCCTAGTCAATGGTCCTGCTCCTCTCCCAGGCTGACCAATTTATCCCTAACCACTACTCTCTCACCACCTCTGCTGTTGCTCCAAATACCCCCATCCCCTCGCCCCATTGCCCCATTGCCATCCCCACATCCAATCACGCATCCAGTCCCATCGCCCACCTGTGCTCGTCGGTCCAACCTCTCCATATTCCTCCCTGTCCTCTCCTCCCCACGCATTGTCCGATGCACATCCGCCCAATGCCCCATCTACCTAATCCCTCTCACCTGTGCTTGTGTGCCCGCCCTCTGCTTCCCCTGCTTCCACTTCCTTCCCCGCCTTCCCCCCCTTTCCCCCCTTCCCCGCCTTCCCCGCCTTCCCCCCCTTCCCCGCCTTCCCCCACTTCCCCGCCTTTCCAACAGCTGCTGGGTGTGTCAGCAGAGTCGGTGCTGGTGCAGTCGACGGGGGTCATCGGGCAGCGCATCAAAAAGGTGGGTTGGGCAACAAGGGTATCAGGAGTCACTTTTGAGAATGCTCAAAAGGCAACAAGGGTATCAGGACGATGGATTAACTGTTGAGTCGACTCAAATCCCACCCCGTGCCACCAGCATCAGTGCTGGTGCAGTCGACGGGGGTCATCGGGCAGTGCATCAAGAAGGTGGGTGCTGCCAGGCCAATAAGAAATCTCTGGTTTCAGTCGACACAGAAGCCACTTCGTGTCGTCAGTGTTGGTGCTGGTGCGGTTAGTGCAGTGAACGGGGGTCACTGGGTTTGGACAGCGGATCAAGGAGGAGGAAGGGTGGAGTGAGCTCGGAAAGGTCAAAGAGCCCGTTGAGCCCGTTGAGCCACTCGCTCTGCTATGGCCTGAAACACCACGGAGCACTGCCTCTGATCCATCAGCCGCCCACCACATGCTTCGCACCCAGCCTAACATACCTTTTCTTGCCTTCTTTCACACTTTTTAATTGTCAGTTTTCCACTCCGCGCTGCCCTGTCTGTGTTCTCTCGCTCCCACTCTGTTCTACTAACCAGCTAAGCGTTCCCTGTGGAACTCCGCTCTGCTTTCCCCCCTCGTGCAGGCTCCTCTTATCGACGCTCTCCCCTCTCTCGTTGATGCTGCCTCGTCCACCCCTGAAGCGTAAGACTATGCATCTTGACAGCCACATGCACATGCGCTTGCACGTGCACATGCGCTTGCACGTGCACATGCGCTTGCACATGCACATGCATGCTCTTTCCCCCGCCCTCCTGCAACTGCCATTCTCTCCTCACTCCCTTCTCTACTCTCCTCTGCTCTCCCCTTCTCTCTGCTCCTCTCCGCTTCTCCCCCTGGCAGCGGGCTGGCAGCAGCAGTGGCCATCACAACCACGGACCTGGTTAGCAAGAGCGTGGCCATCGAGACGCAGGTGAGAGGGGTGGAGGAGGGTTGCAGGTAGGAAGAGAGATGTAGGTGGGGGGGGGAGTTCTGAGTGGACTCAGAATGCACCTCGTGGCCATCACCACCATGGACCTGGTCAGCAAGAGCGTTGCCATCGAGACGCAGGTGAGGGGGAGAGATTGGCGGGCGGGTGTGGAGAGGGTAGACGCCGGTGGGGTTCGGGCATGATCCACCCGAACATATGCACCACATCACCCCACAACCCCCGTGCCTGCCACCCCCCCGTGCCTTCCGTGCCCCAACACACCTCTCATCCTCATCACATCCCACCCTCCCTTCTCCCCGCCCCTTTCCCCTGCGCCCGTCTCTGCACCCTCCCACCCCCGCCCCTCTCTGCCCACAGATTGGCTCAACAACAGTGCGATTGGGCAGCATGGAAAAAGGGTCGGGCATGATCCACCCCAACATGGCCACCTCTTCTGCCGCAGCCCCTGTGCCTTCCACCCTCCAACACACCTCCAGTTCCCGTCTCTGCTTCCGCCCACCCCCACCCGTGTGTCCGCAGATTGGCTCAACAACAGTGCGATTGGGCGGCATGGCCAAGGGGTCCGGCATGATCCACCCCAATATGGCCACCATGCTCGGGGTGAGAGGGGCGGAGGTGGGAGGGGGGATGGAATGTGGGAAAGAGAAAGGGTGAGGGGGCAAGGCGGAGGGGTGAGGCATGGCCAAGGGATCGGGCATGATCCACCCCAACATGGCCAAGGGATCGGGCATGATCCACCCCAACATGGCCAAGGGATCGGGCATGATCCACCCCAACATGGCCAAGGGATTGGGCATGATCCACCCCAACATGGCCAAGGGATCGGGCATGATCCACCCCAACATGGCCAAGGGATCGGGCATGATCCACCCCAACATGGCCAAGGGATCGGGCATGATCCACCCCAACATGGCCAAGGGATCGGGCATGATCCACCCCAACATGGCCAAGGGATCGGGCATGATCCACCCCAACATGGCCACCATGCTCGGAGGGTAGGGAGGAAAGGGGTGAGGGGGAGGGGGAAGGGGTAGGGGGAGGGGGAAGGGGGTAAAGGGGAGGGGTGAAGAGGGAGGGGGAGGGGGAAGGGGGGAAGAGGGGAAGGGGGAGGGGGGAAGGCAGGCGGAAGTGTGACGCTGTTTTGACAACTGCTCGCAGAACACACATCAGTTCAAGGGCATGGGCCCACTGCACCTCAGCGTCGTGAACTATGAGTTTTAATATTATGTCAAGCGGTCTGGCTTTAAGGCACCTCAACAATATACTGTGCATTTTGGTATGATGTTAAGCATGTATCCCACAGTGGGGAGGCCGTTGTGCGCTTGTGCCATGCTATCTTGCCATGCTATCTTGCCATGCTATCTTGCCATGCTATCTTGCCATGCTATCTTGCCATGCTATCTTGCCATGCTATCTTGCCATGCTATCTTGCCATGCTATCTTGCCTTGCTATCTTGCCATGCTATCTTGCCATGCTATCTTGCCTTGCTATCTTGCCTTGCTATCTTGCCTTGCTATCTTGCCTTGCTATCTTGCCTTGCTGTTGCCGGATATGAGTCTACTCTAATAATCCTCACCCCGCATCCCCTCCCTCCACCTATTTGTCCGATGTGCGTGCATGCATGCCGTGAATGCCTGACCAACCGCCCGACTGAATGCATGTTGTGACTGCATGCGCGTCCCTGCAGGTGGTGACATGTGACGCAGCAGTGGTGCCTGATCTGTGGAAGCATGTGGTGCTCACAGCCGTGCAGCGCAGCTTCAACCAGATCACCGTGCGTGCCCTGCTCATCCCTCCCTCCCTCCCTCCTCTTCATCTCTCTCTTTCTTCCTCTCTCTACCGTTACTTGAACAAGGATGCTTCTCACCCACCTCCCCTCATCCCACCTCCCTCCCCATGCAGGTGGACGGTGACACGAGCACCAACGACTGTGTGATCGCACTGGCGAGCGGCAAGGCAGGGGGGCCTGTGATAGCAGACAGTGCATGGCACTTCCCTCGTCCCTCTTCCCCGCATCCCGCTCCTCCCCCCCAATGCCCAACAGGTGGATGGGGACACGAGCACCAACGACTGTGTGATAGCGCTGGCGAGCGGCAAGGCAGGGGGGCCTGTGATAGCAGACAGTGCATCGGAGGAGGGCAGGCAGCTGCAGGCTGCCATGGACGCGGTGAGGCTCTCTCTTCCGCTCCCAGTCCCCCCCGCTCACTCCTGAGCGTATATTGTGAGTGGATTTTGAGGTAGGGGATCGCAGGAGGGCAGAAGCTGCAGGCTGCGATGGGCGCGGTGAGGCTCTCTGTGAAAAGGCCCTTCTCTCTTCCACTCTCAGTCCCTCGCTCACTCCTGAGGGTATATCGTGAGTGGATTTCAAGGCGGGGGGGGGGGGGGGGGTGGAGGGATAGCGGACAGTGCCTTGGAGGAGGGCAGGCAGCTGCAAGCTGCGATGGACGCGGTGAGGGTCACTGCATGCGATCCCACACTCACTCACTCACCCACTCACTCGCTTCCTCGTTCTCTCGCTCACTCACTCAGTCGCTCACTTGCTCACTCACTCACGCATGCCTTTCTCTCGCCACTCGCTCGCCCAAGTGCTTTTCGTCTGCCTCGGTTTGCGTTGCCCGTATGCCCCGCATTCTCATGCACCACACTGATTGTGCTTTTTTTTTATTCTACAGCTTTTGATGACTTTCTACCTCGTAGCTTTCAAGACCAATCCTTTCTACCTAGTGCTATCTTCCACCTGTCCTCCATCTGCCGCCTTTCATTGACCTGAGAGTCCTCTGCCCTTACCCGTCGTTTTCTCCCCTCCTTCCCCAACCTCCCCCCAAATCCCCCCCGCCCTCCCCCCACTGTCCCCCCGCCCTTCCCCTGCACGCCCTCGGCAGGTGTGTCAAGGGTTGGCCAAGGCCATCGCATGGGATGGGGAGGGCGCCACTTGCCTCATCGAGGTGCGCCCACGCACACGCACACGCCCACGCACACGCCCACGCACACGCCCACACGCACGCCCACACACACGCGCACGCGCACGCACACGCCCACACACGCGCACGCACACGCCCACACACACGCGCACGCACACGCCCACACACACGCGCACGCACACGCCCACACACACACGCACGCACACGCCCACACACACGCACACGCACACACACATGCGCACGCACACGCACACACACACGCGCACGCACACGCACACACACATGCGCACGCACACGCACACACACACGCGCGCACGCACACGCACACACACATGCGCACGCACACGCACACGCCCACGCACACGCATACGCCCACACACACGCACACGCACACGCCCACGCACACGCACACACCCACACACACGCGCACGCACACGCCCACACACACGCGCACGCACACGCCCACACACACGCGCACGCACACGCCCACACACACGCGCACGCACACGCACACGCCCACACACACGCGCACGCACACGCCCACACACACGCGCGCGCACACGCCCACACACACGAGCACGCACACGCCCACACACACGTGCACGCACACGCGCACCTGAGAACCGAGTGAATGAAACTGCCCGCTCCACTCCCCCTCCCATCATTTCCCTTTTTTGTCACCACTTAGCACTCCTCTATCTGTGTTGCTCTTTGCTTCTGTTCTCACGTTCCCCGTCATTCCTTGCCTCCTCTCCCTACTCTCCTCTTCCCGCTCTCCACTCTCGACAATCTCGTCTCCTCATCCATCTTCATCCGCTCCCCCTTGCCTCATCCCTTCCCACCTTGTCACACGTCACGTCAAATACATCAGGTGCATGTGGCAGGAGCGAAGACAGAGGCTGATGCAGCTGTGCTTTTCTATACGTCTCAGAAGTCAGATGCTCACCCCCTCCTCTTCTCTCCACCTTGTCACTCACACCTAACCCATCAGGTGCATGTATCAGGAGCGAAGACGGAGGCGGATGCAGCAGTGGTGGCGCGCTCGGTGGCAGCATCATCCCTTGCCAAGGTGATTGAGCGAAGCCGAATCTGTTATGAAAATGAATCTTGCATTGAACATGGAACCAGCATAATCATGCCAACCTCACTTGTATCGTGTCTACTGGCCATTCTCCTTACCTCTCTCTACTAGTACATTTGTTGCCAACGTCCTTTCTTGTGGTTGTTTTCCTGCGGTGTCGTGCTCCGCTCTGCCCCGTTCTCCAGCAGCCCTCTTGCCTCCCCCTCCCCGCCCCAAACCTCTCCTTGCACTGCTCTCACTCCTCTCACCCCTCCCACTCCTCTCCAATCCCCTCTGACAGGCGGCAGTGTACGGGCGCGACCCCAACTGGGGGCGCATAGCGTGTGCAGCGGGGTACGCAGGCGTGCCCTTTGACCCCACGGCGCTTCGCATTGCCCTGGGTGACATTCTGCTCATGGACAAGGGGCAGCCGCTGCCGTTCGACAGGCACGTGCTGGGGGGATGGGAAGGGGGGCGGGGGGGAGGGGACTGGGGGACAGGGAACTGGGGACGACCTTTGACCCCACGGCGCTGCGCATTGCTCTGGGTGACATACTGCTCATGGACAAGGGGCAGCCTCTGCGGTTTGACAGACACATGCTGGGGAGGGGGGAACAGGGTGAGGGCTTCTGAAAAACTGCTGTGCATTGCCCTGGGTGATACTCTCTGGTCATGGACAAAGGACTGCCGCTGCCCTTCGACAGGGGGAACTGGGGAAGGGGGAACTGGATAAGTATCTGCCTTTCATCGCTTATCCCTATGCACACCATATGCTTGCGTTGCTCGTGAATCCTCCACTCTATCTCACTCCTGTCACAACCACCAACTCTTCAATCCTTGTCATTTTCACTCCCGTCCCGCTCCCCTCCTTCCCACTCCCCTTCCCCTCCTCCTTACTCCCCTCTGGCCGCAAGCAGGAAGGCAGCAAGTGAGTATCTGAGGGGGAAGGGTGAGGTGCACGGCACAGTGATCATCGATATCTCCATTGGGGATGGCCCTGGGGACAGCAAGGCGTGGGGATGCGATCTCAGCTATGACTATGTCAAGATTAATGCGGAGTACACCACATAAGAGTGTTCTGTTGTGCGCAGTACACTTAGCCAGGTCGGGTCCAGGATGTTCAGAACCCTTGCGAAAGGGTGCTACCTTTTCACCACAATTATTGCATTAGGATAAATGTACCGGTAGTAGAAAGTTTAGGAAATCAGCCTAGTGCAGGGTTTCAATCTGGGAATCACAGTAACCTGTGCATTCTACCCGGCCTTGTGTCTAAATTCTCAGTGAGCAGCAAACTTAGTCAGGCTTAAAGCAAAGGACAGACAGTAAAAGCTCTCCTGTATTACTTAGATCTCAACAATCCGAGCTCAAGGACTTCAGCAGTAGAGTAAAAAGAACATGTTACGGCATTAAGGGGCGACCCTTGCAGACCTCCATCTGTGCTAATGAAAAAAGCAGAGCTAAGGGGGTGTGCCGTGCCATGTGCGGCAGAACTACTCTGGGCCGCGCTGGGCCACTGCGACCCAGGGGGATTTGCGCGGACCAGCGTGGACCAGCTGTATGGACCAGCACACGGCCCAGGAGGTGACCCAGGTAGCTCCCCCCACGGACCAGCATGTACAGTGGTCGGTGCACGTGCAGGATTTGGGGGACCACTTCCAACAGTCGACCCCAATTCGCGGCCCAGGCACTCGCGAAAACAAAACGTCGACCCTTTTCGTGATTCGAGCCGTCGCGAAATGTAGTTCGCGTGTGACAAGGTGCGACTTGGTTTTCGTCCACCTTGCTTTTGCGAAACTGTAAAACACTGTGCTGTTGGGGTCGGCTGCAAATGGTGCCCGGGACCACGCGGGTAGCAGGCAGGGACCACTTTCGCGAGTGGTCCCTGAAAACTGGTGCTCCCTTGTCTAACCTGGTCCATTTCCCTGTAAATGGACCAGGGCGCAATGTACCACCCCCTAAGCTACGCTTCAAGAAGAAACGAAGCCTCATAAAAACTGATCTCTAGGTTATCTACACTGGGTCAGCCCGAAAAACGGGGACGAATCCATATCACCCTTGAAAACTTCAGGTGGCCACGTCTTCAATCCTTGGAGCGTCTTCGTTGAATCTCGAATTCGCATCTTCGCCAGTCAGCAACTGTAGAAGTCGCGCGCGTACCAGTGACCTGTTAAGGTTACAACCAATTTGCCATGCAACAAACAACCTCTCCACATATAATCCGCGTGTAATAAGTCGAGTTTTGAGTCGACTCAAAAGGACCGCCAGCCTGAGACGAGCAGACACCGAAGTGTACTGTGTCTTCAAAACTAGGGGTCCACGGGATGGGAGAGAAAGTTGTTGCCGGAGTGCCTGGTTAGCGATGTGTTAGAGGTTCACTGGTGATCCCTGATTGATCCTAGGGAAGGGTTACAGGCACGTTGGCCTAGGGGGTTATGGGCGCACTCACCCGCTACACAAACAAGCCCTTTCATCCCAATGGTTAGTGGCTGTGATTTTGACATGGTATCAGAACGAAGGTCTCGGGTTCGAATCCCAGTGTGTGCACCTCGGGCATCCCAGTATGGGGGGGTGTCAGAGGTCCACTGGCGATCCCTGATTGATCCTAGGGAAGGGTTACAGGCACATTGGCCTAGAGGGGTTATGGGCGCACTCACCCACTATACAAACAAGCCATTTTATCCCAGTAGTTAGTGGTTGGGATTCTGACACGATGATAGTGGCGAGGAGTGACGAACGGTGAGCGAAGGTGACGCTTTGGAAGATTGGGTGCAGAAAGGCAGGTGGGTAACCACGATCACGAAGCCGGCCGAAGAAAGCCTTCTTCCTTGCGAGGAAAGCCGCAGCTGATGTAGAGCGGAGCAGGTACCACTTCAATTGTGTGTGAATTTTTCCTTGCAATGCTGTGGGTGGAAGGAAGCAAAGGGAAGATAGAGATACTTGTTCATCGGCCACTAAAACGTGCCAAAATCCAGAGTACCCTGCTCCTAAAACCGTGGTCCCTTAAAGAGAACCACGTCCAGAAAGTCGATGGAGCAGTCCGAAACAGACCATGTGATCCGGATGTTCGGATCAAGCTCATTCAAGGTGCGCAGGTAGGCTTCCAAATCTGCCCACGTCCCCGGCCACACGATTAGACCATCGTCGATGTAGCATACATGGTAAAGGGGTAATGTTCTGGTCCAAATGCGGTTAAGTAACTCATCCAGGCGGCTCATGAACAGGATCGCGAAGCGGACTGCCACAGGTGTACCCATGGTGGTGCCTCGTAGTTGGTGAAAGTTCCGGCCGCCGAACTCGACGAAAGAGTTCCTCATGACCTAACCCAGAAGGGCCAAGAGAGGTGGGGTGAGTTGCGGTTTCTCCCTCATCAGAAAACAGCTGACAGCATCAAGGCCGCGCCCGATCGAAATGCTGGGGTAGAGAGCGGCTACGACATACGTCGCTAGAAGTACCGTCGTCGGAAATGTGGTGCGTTCGAGCGTTGTCAGCAGAGAGAGAGAATCCCGGATACGTAGGATGATTGAAGACCGGTGGGCGAAGTTCAGCGTCAAGCCACTTGCTCACATTAGTCGTGACCTATGAGTGTGAGGTAGCGATCGGTCGCCCCACAGGTACTTTCTTGTGAAGCTTAGGCAATGCGTAGAATGCAGATGGCCACCATTCCCCGAGTGGTTCCTTGAAGAAATATGTCCAGAGACTGTCTGGAAAAGCCGGTCCCCACGTCACCTTCAACTCAGGCAGCTGCTGCAGAACCCGTGGCGTCGGATCACGTTCAATCGGCTGGTACACTTCTGCATCCCCGAGATGTTCCATACACAAGTCGATGTAGTGCTGCCGATCGAGGATAGTAACGCCAACGTTTTTTTTCTGCAGGTTTGATGACGATGCTGCGGTCGGTGGTGAGGGAGCGCAACGCCTTACGAATTCCTGACGAGATGTTGAAACCCCGTCGTGGCGTCGTCGCTTTCAGAAGGTAAGAGAGGTCGTTGTGGGCCTCCCTGAACACCGACTCCAGGGACAACTTCTCGATCGGGTTTCCAATCTGGGTTGCGCACACGGAAGCGTGACATCTCAGATGAATCCCCTTTATCCTTGAAGAAGAAATGCAGAGAAATTTGTCGATGTAGTTGATCGAGATCTGCTTCGATGGAAGGGTTCCTGGTAGGCGTTGGCACGAATTTCAGTCCCATCTCGAGTGCTCGTCGCTCATCGTTTGTTAAAACCTTAGCACTCAGGTTATGCACTCCGTTGTTTCGGACCCGCGGCATGGCTTGTCATGAAGTCAAGCGGCCGAACCAACGAAGCGCGAGATCCCGCGCCGTTACTTCTTCTTTGGCGGCCCTTTTGCGGGGCCGCCGCCTCCGTTTTTTGGAACCCAGGCCTGCCTCGGTGCTGCTCGGCCCTTCTCCTTGCCGTTAGTAGGAGCGCAAAAAAATCTTCCTTTTCCCCTGCTTCTTCTTCGCCTTATTGTTCAGGGGCTTAGAATCGGCGGCGGTGGTCAACGGAGAGACCTTCTCCAACGTAATCTTCTGAAGCTTTGCAGATAGTTCTTTGTAAAGCTTCGCCGCAAACTCCTTGCGAAGCCGTTCTCGACCTTCTTTACGTGCTTCTAAACGATTGCGTCGATCGTCGGATCCAAATCCATTCTGTTGATCTCTCCAGCCGCGGCAACTTTCTTCAAATCCTTAGGTTCACGTTTTTTCTATCGTTCCAACTCCCGGATGATAATCTCATCCCTGGTGATGGCTATGTCGGACTGTGCCTTCTCGATGCAGGCCCTTTTACTCTTCCTCTAGATACCGCCAGGTCAGAGTTCTCCGAGAGACTTTTCAGGCAGTCCTCAAGCTTTGTCACCAAAGTTGTCACGTGCATGTTAGAAGCCGCCAAAATCTCCTCAACTTCCATCTCTTTCAAAGCAATAAAGTCCTTTTGGATACGCTTTTGATTCTCCAGATAAACAACAGCAACCGAAGCTGCAGACTTCTCCTGAACAGCAGGGTATTTCGTCTCGAACTCAACTGCTTTGGTGCGAATACTATAAAGAATCACACCTTGCTCATCAAGCGTCTTCATCTTCTGAAGCTTGGACTTCGCCTTCAAGAGTGTTTTGAAATCCTCCTGAAAACCCTTGATCGCCATCGCTGTCCAGCCTTTAAAACACTCAAGAATGTTGAACTGCTCAGGAACAGCCGGGTTGGCGCTCGTAAATGCTGCAGGTGCCATCACAGGAGTAGCGTTTGAAGCGGGATTCATCTTCATGGCGGGAGGTGAATTTGCTTGCTCGTTATGCGATGTCGGTCCGCGTGTTGGTGCAGCACGATTTACTCCTTTAAGTTCGCGAACTCGTTGTCGTTGCGTGCGATACCTCGTGTAAGTCTTGGGAAAAACTGTCTCGTGGATCACAATAGCAGAACTACCCTCGTTAAGTGTGGGGTCGTCTGAGTCAAGCGTAAGTGCCAACTAGTCTTGTGACATAATTTTATGCGAGCAACAAACTTAGTCAGGCTTAAAGCAAAGAATAGATAGTAAATACCCCCCTGTATTACTTAGATCTCAAAAATCCTAACTAAAAAACTTCAGCAGTAGAGTAAAACTATGAGGATCTAGGATCGAGCTAAGGAAAAAGAATTGTAATTGAATGATTCACCTGGGCACAACACGAGGATATATATAGTCTTGACACAAGGCTAGTTACCGAGGTGTTACGCGAATGTTCTGAGGGTCGCGAAGCGTCCCGAACAGAACCTTCCCGAACTCAGTAGAAAGCAATTCGGTGGAAACAGTGTCAGAATGTTATCTTATGCTCTAGCCTGTAGTGGGGTGCTCTATAGCGAGTACAACCCTTCTAGGGTTTCCTATTTGTATCCCCATTCTTGCTAGTGCATCCCTCTTCTTTCTTCTAAACTTTAACATGCTATCAGAGCAGGTCGATCCCCTTGGATCGATCTTGTGGGTGGGCTTACCACCTCCTAGCTTCCGCTGCAACTCCTACCACTACACTCGGTGCCGCACGCCCCGTGGCGTGTGGCAGTTTTCTTCCCGCCGTGCGCCCCGAGGCGCGCGGCGGTTTT